TACTAGGGGTTCCTGGCCGTACTACTAGGAGCAAGAAGCTACTAGGAGCTTTTTCGCTGCTAGTGACTGATGCTGCAGGCCATGACACCTGCACCAAGTTCGCCCCATGCGATTCCGGCAGGAGTCCACGTGTCGTCCTTGCGGGGTGAGTCTGAGAAACCTGCGACCTTTGGGGTGTTTTGCCCACAAACCTGCGACAGCATTCCTGTCAAAACTGGAGGAACAGCAATGAGTCAAAAGCAATGGAAACCACCCTGGCCACCCTGACCTGGAACGGAGAATCGTTTGCACACATATTGATTGAAGAGCATCTTAGATTCTAGACATGTTTGGCCACACATTGCCTCCTCCAGCTTGTTTGTCAGAATGGATTTATGGCCAGAATCTTTGAGGCCCTTTGTCAAGTTTTTTTGCTGGCCAAGGTTGTATCCAGCCGAAAGGAGGTTGGGCAGGGGCATGAAGAAGCAGTTTGCAGTCAATGTGGGCCGTTCAAATCCGGCACATGACCAGCAGCTGAACACCAGCAATGTCTCATGCAGGTCAGGACATCTTACAGATCTAAATACTGAGATTGCAGAACACATCAGGTTGTTCGTTCAATGGCGCAACGGCATTGTTTCAGATCCTCCAAGAAGACGCTGAGAAAACACAGTTATTGTTCGTCACATCGGGCTGAGAAGTACCCAGGAGCCTTCAGACTCTATACTTTCCGGCAAGCTTTGGAAATTCGATTATATATTTAATAAAATACATGTTTGCAACATATTTGTGAAGATTTAGAATCAAATGTGTGAAATAAATATGATTGTCCTGGTCCTGTTGCCAAACATGGCTCACAGCAAATTTACAAACAGTTCACAAAATGATCACAAATATGTCATAGCTGTTTCACAGAAAAAGAAAAAAAACACACACATGTGTGTGTAATGATTACACATTTGCCCCAGCCGTCTCCCAGAGTTCACATTTCTTCCAAATTATCCTCACAAATGTATGTTTCACAGATATGTCACTGAACATAATCAGTGGACGGACCAAATGGATGACACGGAATTCCATGGTCTTGACACCAAGTCCGAATCCAAAGAATCACATGCAACAAGGGGCCCAGGATGGCATTGACAACACACCATGTCCCATTCAGGGCAGGATTGGTGTCCACGTTTCTTGAAGGATAAGACAAGGAAAGACAAGGATACCCCTATCTATAAGAACAAGATAGAGTAGTGGATGTGGAGTATATTGTTTGTCATGTTCATATTTCGTTTTGTGAGGCAAGATAGATGCTGAATGCTGAGAAGATCCAAGACAGAAACCAGACGGTTTTCTTCAAGATTTCACCGGGTTCCCCTCGAAATCATACGGGCGATACCGCATGCGAGGCCCGTCAGAGCGATACCCGGAAAAGTCAGCCAAAGCCGTCTTGGTCTGATGCGCAGATGAGGCACTGCTCGGGAAAAAGAAACAGTGAAGAGCATGTAAAAGAGACTCATGCACGAACGGAGCGCGTTCCAACATGCAGAATAGGGCAGTCCGAATTCCAAAAACATGGCCGGGGCGGCCAACCTAGCTAGTGGCCAGCCATTTCCGTGTGGCCAGCCATTTCCATGTCCCTGCTTCGTCGGGACCATGGTTCGTAGATGGTCTCCAGCATCGCCTACGTATGTGCCAGCAGTTGTTTCTGTGCTCAACAATGAACTTGAACCAGATCGCCACCCGGAGCATGCATACTCCGCCGCCCTTGGAGAAAAGCTTTTTGGGGATCGTGTTGCATGCAATGCAACATGATGTAACCAAGAAATGCAAGTGGCAAAGGGCCAATAGATGTCTAACCATTGTGAGAAAGCTCACCTTTGTGATATGTTGCGATCGAGCTAGCCAAAAAAGAGGACATTTTCGGACATGAAGGCGCACGCACGGATGCAGTTTGAGGTCTGTGTGCACTGGCTGTTTGTTCCTGAAGGAAACTGTTCAACTCCAGCTATTCTGCGGGAACTTAAAGACTCAATCCCAGAGGCTTGCATGCGAGCATTTCTGCCAGCCAGTTTTTGCGTTGCCTGGCTGGTATGCTTCTTGTGTGCACGCACTGGCTCGTCTCTCTGTCTCGTGTCCTGCCTCGCACCAACGATTGCTAGTTCCTAGGACTCAACTCCCCTGAAACCCTTTCGGTTGCTAGATCCTAGGCCCCTAACTGCAAGCACTGGCTGGTTCCTAGAGCCTAGCTCTACTGACAACCCTGTAAGACTACGGCCGTGCGTGGTTCCTAGAGCTCTCTCGCTTTGGCTCCCAACTGCCTGTTTGGTTTCTAGCATCCGGCTCTTTTGCTGAC